GTGTGTGTGTGTGTGTGTGTGTGTGTGTGTGTGTGTGTGTGTATGTTTTTTCTTATTTACTTCAATTCAGTGTGGACGATGGCACTAGGTCGATCCTCAATTGCCTCAGGATTCCATCTCTGCTCTTTGTAGATGATGTGGTCCTGTTGGCGTCATCTTGCCGTGATCTTCAGCTTTCACTGGAGTGGTTCACATCCGAGTGTGAAGCGGCTGGGATGAGAATCAGCACCAACAAATCAGAGTCTTCAGTCAGAAAAGGGTGGGTTGTTCTCTTCGGACCGAGGCTGAGGTTCTCCCTCAAGTGGAGGAGTTCAATTATCTCTCGGTTTTGTTCATGAGTGATGGAAGAATGGAGCGTGAGATTGACAAACAGATTGGTGCAGCATCTGCAGTATTGTGGACTCTGTGCCGGTCCATTGTGGTGAAGAGGGAGCTGATCTGTAAGGCGACGCTCTGTGTTTACTGGTTGGTCCATTTTTCTACCCTCACCTATGGTCACGAGCTCTTGGTAGTGGCTGAACGAATGAGATCGAAGATGCAGGCAGTTGAAATGCATTTCCTCCAAAGGGTAGCTGGATTCTCCCTTGGAGATAGGGGGAGAAGTTCAGTTATTCTGGACAGACTCGGAGTAGAACCGCTGCTCCTCCACAGCGAGAGGAGCCAGTTGAGGTGGTTTGGGCATCGGGCACCTCCCTAGGGAGGCACTTCTGGCATGTCTGACTGGAGGAGACTCCAGGGAAGATCCAGGACACGCTGGAGAGACCTGTGGAAAAGGGGCTATAATGTCTCTCGGTTGGCCTGGGAACACCTTGGGGTGCTCCCAGAAAAGTTGGAAGAGGTGGTTGTGGAAAGAGATGAGTCCGCCTCCCTGATGCACTGTGCAGGAAATCTTCAGGTTCAAAGAATGTCCACACTTTAGTCACAAGTTGTTACTGTAGATGTCATTAACCTGCAACCAGTTCAACTACAGTCATTAACCCAAAGTGTGTGTGTCAGGAAGCACCATGGTGCCTTTAGTTTCATAAGATGACTTGATGCTTTCACCACGAGTCTCCATATGTGATGCTGTGGTCCATCCTGCTCCTCAAACAGTTCTGTTTCTGTGAAGTTCTTCCTGTAGATGAACTGATGTCTCCATGTTTAGTGTTCACAATTTGTGAATTTATCCCATTTATGGCATTAATGGACAAGGTCTCAAAAGCTTACTGGTCTGTCCACATTCCCTCACCTGTGGCCATGTGGTTTGGATCATGATGAAAAAAATGCGATTGTGGATTCAAGCAGACAAAATGAGCTTCCTTTGCAGGGTGGCCGGGCTCAGCTTTAGAGAGAGTGTGAGGAGCATCGCCATCAGGGTATGAAGAGTAGAGCTGCTGCTCCTCCACATCTAAAGGAATTAGTTGAGGTAGTACGAGCATCTGATTAGGATGGACTGGACACCTCCCTTTAGAAGTCTTCTGCACACATCCCACTAGTAGGAGACCCTGGGGCAAACCCAGAACACACTTATGGGATTGTGTATATTCTCTGGCTTAGAAACACCTTTGAGGATGTGCTCAGGAGGAGATGGAACGAATCACGAGGGAGAGGCATGTCTAGGCCTCCTGGACCTGCTGCCTCTAGACCAACCATGGATAAGTGGTAGGAGATGGAGAATTTATGGGTTGTCTGCAGCATGCAGTATATGGTTTATGCAACCTACAGAAAAAACACAATTATATTTAAGGTTAATAAATAATAAATTAACAATGAACCAATTATATCTGTTAGGAGCTGCCACTGCTTTCTTTTTGGTTTTGGACCTTTCATGTTTTGCTTCAGATTGCGTCAAGAACATCCTCCACTTCCTGTGTGCGACAGCACAATGAGGAGAAAAGGCCAGACCGCCATCCCCACACAGATTCTTCAGCTGTGGGCAGAAATTAAAACGTTTGATCTGAACTCTGAAGCTGTTTGTTTTGTCCTGATAAATGGAGCCATTGTATGCAGATTGCTCTCACAGAGGCGTATGACCTCCTCAGTGCAGGGCAGTGGCTGGCCAGTAATCATTAGCAATGCAAAGCCGCTCTGAGCTGATGTCCGCAGTCACAGATTGAGAAAAGATAAAGGGAAAAAAATCTGGTAACACAAATGATTCTGAAGGGGTTTATCTGAAACCACATCTGACGGTAAGTTCGTTTCATTTTCCAGATGGTTGTCAGCTTTGGTGACTGGCTGTTTTCAGGCTGTTTATCTGGTTTATTCTGCATTCTTGTTGGGCGTTTTGCTGTCCTTCCTCTTGATATTTAACAAATGAGATCATATTTTATAAGTATAAATCAAATTATTTTTATTCCCATCAAGTTAACAGTTTGACTGATCTTAAAGTGTTAGAAACAAGATAAAATCTCTTGATTTGGAAAAACTAAATATTTTTCTGCCAACCAGTGAGGAGTATGACGTCACTCTGGGTTCAGATGCCCACCATGATGACTGGTGAACATGTGTCACATGACTCAGACCTCATGCGTTGCCCTCTTTAAGTGGCCCTCCAGCAGCTCGGGGGGGCCACACAGAGGTTCATCCGTTCCTCTGGTTTTACCTCCATGCCAAACCAGCGGGTCAGCTTCGTTCTCCACGCTCCCTCCTATGCCGCTTTCACCTCGAGCTGAGCCCGGTAACAACTCTGATTTTATACTTGGACTGGAAATGTAAACACGAAGGGGTCATAGGTCAATCTAAAGTGATAAGAGGAAAGAAACTGACTTAATAAATAGGTCAAATGAGTTAAATTTTTACTTAGAGCTTATTCTGTGTTCTAAAATGTTGATTTTATTAATTTCAAACCTATATGAAAATACTTGGTTTAATTAAAAACTGTTGTATAATTTGTAAATGTATGATGGTGATAAATATGAGAACTATTTTAGACTGAAGTTGTGTTAGATATAGTTTGTACTAAACTTTGGGCTTTTTAATCTTTTCAAAACCAAATCTTTTTTTAAGGAATTGATTTGTCTAATGAACATAATAATAATAATAATAATAATAATAATAATAATAATAATAATAAT